TAGACACACAGACACACACACATATAGAACATAAGCGAACATGCTTATACTCTAGCATAATCTTGTTGGAACAAGAGGGGTTTGTTGGACTTCAGAATTTACATACGTTCTCATTTCAAACTAGCAACCTAAGTCAACTACACACACACACATGTTGATGGCATTTGTATGTCCCCAAAAATTGCACACATCCTCTCTTCATCCCAATAATCAAACCCAAAAAAGAAAATTCAATTTGCACCCTAGATACGGTCAAAATGAGTTCCCTCCAATAATGAATCTAGATCATTCATTTGATCAATTTCAAGATGTAGGTCTTTACAAACTCAAAAATCATTTTTTTTCTTTTTTAATATTGTTCATCTAATCATAATAAATCCATCTAAAAAATTTGGAAAGGGAAAAAACCTTTCTAAGGCCTAGATTTAAGCATCTTACCTAAATAGATGGCTATGTTAATTGGGTTAAAAACACACTTTCTTGGTTGTGTTATCAAATTTGACCTTTTGTGATTGTTCATTGGAATAAAAAGAGTGTATATTTAAGAATTGGGGTCAAACAAATGCCCTAACACACTTTTTGAAGAATGTTTCATTATATCACTATAAAACCGTTGTATGGAATCATTCGCCACATATATACATATATGTACACACAAAAAAAAGAGGTCCAAAATGAGTCCGCCGTTTTCATTGAATGCATGCTCCATCCATTTGAGGGATGGTGATCTAAACGTTCAAGAATTCAGATTTAATTCTTTTTTAAAATTGTTCATTTATTGCATCAAATTTATGCAAAATTTCAGCCTAAAGATTTCCCTCTAGCCATGTGGTTTAGCCAACGGCTTTATTGTGTAACTTAAAGCTCATTATTCTGTAACTTAAAGCCCATTGGCTTATAGAATCTTTTTCCAAAGTATACTATCATGGGGCAGACTGGTGCTTCAACATGTTATGTAAGGACCTACTTAACGTAAAGCAATTTTTTTCATTTGTTTGGGTTAAAATCAATGAACAAAAGGTCTGGGCAATGTGACTTGATGACTGAGAACAACATAAATTTTGTAACTGATTAAAAAGCTATTTTTATCCTAGGTACATGAATACCTGTGTAGTATTGTCTTGTAACTATGAAGTTCACGAACCTTGGAAGAAAGAAGTAGATAGATCGCGTTGCGTGCAAGTTTTCTCATGCAGACTGCTAGTGGGGATCACATTTCTAGTTTCTCATGCAATGATTCTTGATATTCCTTTCTAATCGTTCTTTTTGTGCAGATCATCCTAAACAAGGTTTTGTTGGTTGGGACAAGGACAAGCACTTACATAGGCAAACCAGTTGTGCCAAATGCTGCTGTACATGCTGTTGTTGAGGCACAGGTAAGAAGTTACGATCTCCCACAACCAGCAGAAAAGTAGCAATGGTTTCCCAGTTTAATGTGATGTTTGATTTCCATCAATTTCAGGGCTTAAATCCTAAAGTTGTTGTTTTCAAGTATAAAAAAAAAAAGAACTACAGGAGGAATATTGGACACCTGCAGGTAGACTCCATAATATTCATTTTTGCTGTGATTATAGTTCCTTGAAAGCTTGAAACTGGGTTGCAAAGCTGTTGAATTTTTAGATGGTCCAAGTTAAAATATTCAAAAAACTATATGTGAACCTATAGTTGGAAGCCACATACACATATGAGCACATGCATGTATGCTGGAAACTGTGTTCGAATTCAAAAAATCAATATAAAAGTGACTAGCAAGCAAAGTTATTTACTTTCTTTTAATTCATTTTATGGTGATTCATTAGTGCTTGTAACTGTGGTCTAGTTGGAGTGCTAAAAAACACAAAGTAATTAATCTGGTTATATTGTTGAGGGATTCAGTGTTGCTTGTTGACTGTTGACACAAGACACACAAACCATTTAGTCTGGCTATAGTGTTGCTTGTTGCTTGTTGACTGTTGACACAAGACACACAAGTCACCACTATCTGTTGACGACAATCTTTGAGTTAAAACAGAGTTCACCACTATCCTTGCCAAGCAAATTCACATTCCTTTCTTTTTTCCCTCTTTTTTTTTTTTTGTCCTTTTAATATGGGTGTGTGGGTCTGTATTGTGGGATATATGGTCAGATATAAAACTTATACAATAATTAATAATCTGCAGCCGCATACAAGGATAAGGATCACGGGCATCACTGGTTATCAAGATTCACCTGCTGCCACACTTGCCTAGTCTTCACCATTTTGTTTTGCTGTATATATTGGTCAAATTTTTTTGAACCAAATAGGAATCTAGGGTCTTTCCATTTCTAGCCCGTGACTTTTAGAGTTGGGGTAGCTCTAAAGAGTTTCCAAAGAGCTGACTAGTAGATTTCGGATTCATTTTCTGTACACTATTTTTCTTTTGACATCGTACCTATGAGGCATTGGTGCCATATTGCCATGCTATCATAAAGAATGTTGCTATGTTACTCAGCCACAAAGAATGTCAGCATGTTTTTGGACTGCAAAGTAATATGTCACAATATGTTAACCTTCTCTAAAAAAAAAGTAATATGTTGCAATATGTTAATTAGTGGTTTATGGATTTGTAGGATCTAATGTATTCTATAGTCTAGTAATGTGAATCCCTATTGAATGAGTGCCTCATGATCATAAAATTGGGACTATTTCATGCTGCAATTAGCTTAATTAACAAATGTTTTTTTATTAATGTGTGGACACGAGGAGTCGGAAGCATGCTTGATTTCCTGTCAATTTGTAGTTCTAAGAAATGGTTTTTGTTTTGCTGAAAATCGTAGAATTTTGGGTGCATTCTCTCTACTCGAATGACAAGCCAATACCAGAAAATTTTCCAAAGCCTCAAGCATAAATAGATAACCTAAAACAAATAATTCTTGAAAATTAAAAGGCTTTACTCTGGTGCTTGAGTGGTTATATGGTTCGCCTCTACTATAGTTTTCTCTTAGGCTAGGTTAAATCATTAATCCGCCGGCTTGGCAAAAAGCCTAAAGGTGCATTAAGATTCCAAAACCTTAGATAGGGCTTGTTGGCACTATTCAGAAGCAGTTTTTACTATTCACGTCCTAAAAGTGTTAGAAACTTTAACCCTCTAGTCTTTTTATTATTATTTTTTGATTTTTTTTATTTTAAAAATTGATGTTAGGGTCTTTTTACTACATTATAATAAAAAATGAGAAAATTACGTTATACTTTTCGTTATTTTGAAAATACGTGAAACTTTATGTTATTACACATACGTCAGTTTTTTCAATTTCATAACACTTTTTTTTGTAAAAAATATGAAATTACCTATTTTTGGTTTTTGAAAAATCAAAATTTTTTAAATTTCAGTTTTTCAGAAACCAATTTTTTTTAAATTTCGGTTTTTGAAAAATTGAATTTCAAAAATCAAATTCTTTAAATTGAATATTATGTATGCCCAAATATTTACATGAGGTTGAATTGACTTTTTGTTATCATGCATGCCTCTGGACTTTCATGTCAAGGGTTCAAGTCCCTTCATACACAATCTAATTTTTTTAATAAAAAATAGATGTTTTTTATTTTATTAAAAAGCTAAAAAAAAAGGTCCATCATGGAATGGGTGTGGCTTTTCGGTTATCATACATGCATCTATACTTTCATGGGTTCAAGTCCCTCTATATGCAATTTAATTTTTTTTAATAAACAATGGATGTTTTTTATTTTATTAAAAAGAAAAAAACAGCCCCATCTTAGAATAGGCAGGATTGATACACTATTAAGTAATAGTGAAAGTCGTGGGGAGCGAAGTCGACACGTAGGGGGATAGGAG